AGTGTGTGTATATAATGAATGTCTCTATGCGCACATGCACCGAGGCATACTCACCGCATTGAGTACAGACTACCACTTCGCAATTGCAGGCGGAGGTCAGCACAGCGCGACGCTAGTTGCTCCTCGTCCCTGTGACGTCGCCAGAGAGGGAGAAGGGGGAAGGGACCACCACGAGAAGGAGTGGAATGGGAAGGAATAGTACCTCACGGCCGCCAACCTGACACTCACACTGTACCTATGGTAGTGAACGACTTACTTACCCGATAAGGCGGGATTAAGGCCACCAGAGGGTGACAGTAGCTCCACTGTGCCTCCACAACACCGATGAAAACGTAACAGGAGAAGGAGCAGACGTAGATGAGCCTAGGTGGGACGTGCAGAAAGGACGAGAGGGGAAATTACTTACCCTGGTCGGATATCAGCCTGTGCAACCTCTCAGCCTTCGCATCACCAGATTAGAGAGTCCACTCGGAGCGCCACACGGGCATCGGCGACCGGAAAGGTCTACCTGGACTTGGGCCCTGCCATACACACGAAACAAAGGAACTCAGGTATCTTGATGAACATCAGGTGAACACAAAGGCCTGCTGAACGAGCCAGGGACGACAAGGGAAGGAACGCAGACCCATAGCTGGACTTGAAGGGACCTTGGGCTAGCGTGCCGTCCCGGTTGCACCTTCCAGCTGTCACAGGGGGACCTCACATGACACTCTCGATGAGCCCATAGGCTCGGATGGCAGAGAAATGGGAAGGAAGGCTTTTGGATGGTCCCAGGCCTTTGGATGGTCCCAGGCCTCTCTTGTTGACCCATTAAAGTGGTCGTCGGGCTCATGTCACTCAGAGGAAGGTTGTGCCCGCCAGTGGGCCACCAAAAGCTCTCCCGCTCAGCGGTTTGAGGATGCCAAACGGTGGAGGTCCACCTACCAAAGGATGGGGGCAAACACGGCGAGAAAGGCGGTAAGGAGATCAGGGGAGTGTCAGGGGAGTGAGGTGGCCCGAAATATGAATCTCAGGATGGACTGAAAAAGAAGAAAATATAGGCAGAAAATGGGTCCTTGACCTGGACACCCGAGACACGCCCTTAGATGACCGTGATACGACGGGGCGAGGCCGGGATGGTGAAGGTGGTGCCTCGCAGCCCGTACCGCCGCCGCGCCGAGCTCGGCGGAGGGGCCGCGGTAGAGGAACGCGTGGAGCCCCACGAGGCGCCCGCGGTGCTCGAGGTGGAGGCGGATTCGCACCCCCGCCGCCGCCCGGCCCGCCACCCGGCGACCCGGGGGATGGCGGAGCAGGAGATGGTGACTCGGGCGGCAATGGGCCGCCCCCAAACGGTGGAGGACCTCCACCTCCCCCTGGTCCACCACCAGACCCGCCCCATGATTCCCACTAGTTTCGCTCGAGAGGAATTTTCCACAGCGTGGGCTTGATTATCTCCGCAGCCTCACCGCTGAGCAACGGGATGATCACTTCAAGCTGGGCGTTCGCACTATATCCCGCATACCTGGGTGTGTCCGGGAATCGCTGAGGATGGTGCTGGACACTACCGAGAAGTACGTGAAGGACGAGGAGGACTCTGATGTCGGCTGCCTGATAGCCATTTTCGTGCCCACTATGCTGCTCTTCCCGATGAATCGCGGCGGGAAGGGCGGCCATCGCAAGTGGGGCACTCGCTTCAAGCGGTTCTGGGCTGGAGAGTGGCAAGGATTGCTCGACGAGTCTCGGAATTTTGCTGAACAGGGTCGCCACGTATTTGCTCCACGCGGCGATGGACCGGTGGACGGCGTGTCTGAGCCATCCCTGGAGGAAATCAAGCTGCGAGCAGCAGAGAGATTTGTGAGACAGGGAGAGCTGTCGCGTGCGGCAAGGCGGCTGACGGCCGCCAAGGTCGCTCCGGCGACAGCGGCAACGCTCCAGCAGGTCAAGGACCTACACCCGGCAGCCCCGCTCCCCAGAAAGCCGCAGACCCAGAACAGCCCAGATGAGCCGGCCGTCCCTCTCACGGTTCCGCCCAGAGTTCTACTAGCTGCCCTCAAGACGGCGCCGCGAGGTTCCGCAGCCGGCCCTACGGGATGGCGGTATGAGCATCTTCGTGCCTGCATGGGAGAGGGTGACGCCTCGGCAGAAGACGGGACCGTCCCTCTACCCTCCTTTGTCTACCGGATGCTCGCTGGGAACATGCCGGACAGCTGCACCACGACTCTCTCGGCGGCCCGCCTTTTCGCTCTGATGAAGGACAACGGTGGTGTCCGGCCGATTGCTGTGGGTGATGTGCTTCGGAGATGGGTGACGAAGGCAGTCTGTATGGAGAACAAGCTGGCCTTTGAGGACGACTTCGCGCCTCTACAGTTTGCGGTTGGTACGTCGGCAGGCGGAGAGAAGATTTTCCGGGCCTGTCAGACCTACTTGGAGACACGCCGCGATGACTCCGATAGACGGGTTTTGGTGACTTTGGATTGCAAGAACGCCTTCAACAGCATCGACCGACAGGCGATCCTCGACGAGCTCGGCACAAAGTGGCCGTCCTTTGTCGATTCCTTCTGGCAGTTCTACGGTACCCCGGCTGAACTATGGTATCGGATGGAGGACGGACGCACAGAGACCATCCTCAGTCAGGAGGGTGATGCGAAGCGGACCCTTCGCATCGTGATTCTGTCCATGTGGGACGCATCGTCATGGCTGTTTCGAGGCACGTCTATCCGTCCGCCAGGTGCGCAGCGCAGAGGCCACACGGATGGATGGATAGATGGATGAATGGATGGGTGCCTGGATGACGCATATGTGTGTGCACACGCCTGCCTATCTATCTCGCCTGTCTGTCCCTTCGCCACTGTGGGCCTCCCCGCAGCCCAGTGCCCGTGTCAGTCGCCCGTATGCAGTGCACGACATGTGTCCATTCTGTGCCTGTGCCATGCGCAAGCGCATAGAGAGATACGTGCTTGTGTGACTGACTCGTGTGTGTCATCGCCATTCGCCCATGTGATGGTACATTCATGGTGGATTGATGTGGGTATGGGAAGGAGAAGCTAGAGGAGAAGACGGAGATCCTCGTACACGCCAGTGTGTCTGTCTGCCGTGATGTGTTGCGTTTGCCATTGCTTTGCCGTGGCAGTGTGTCCATGGAGCCACAGGCAGCCAGGCATACGTGCAGTGCAGATGAGGTCTATGTGTGATGCATAGCCGATAGCCGACCTAGATAGAGCTGTCAGGACGCATGCAGCGCCATGGTTGCTTCGTTTGTTGAGCTGCATGCTGATCGCCGATCAC